ATAGAAATTGTTAAGAATTTAATTTTATTATTTATTTGTTATGTTAAAATAGCCAGTTTTACCCACAGTGGAAATAGGATTGTGATTCAAATGAGGTGCAAGACTATCTGTTAAATTTGAAATAAAATTTATTTTAATTCGCATTCGAGCCAGACACAAACGTTTTGAAATATGTTTTCGAGTTTAGAGAACGATAATTCGAAAATCTCACAGCGTTCTGGGATTCTAAGTTTAGAGGACTTACGAATAGCAGAACTATAAGGTAGGATGTGGGTGGCATTATGGCATAGGAAGTTATAAAATTATGATATGTACAATAATAACTGAACCCATTTTAAAAATCCGATGCATCAAGGAAAAATTAGATATAAGTATCATTATAGCAAAGCTTAAAAAAACTAAATAGGGAAAAACATGGACGATTCAAAAGAGTTGAATGCAACAAATTAAGCTTCCAATTTGGATAAAGAAATTTTGAATTCAGATTTTTTTGAACTTAAAAGTTTAACAGTCATTAAACTAGAAGTGGTGAACCTATGTTTTGCTATTTTCTGTTTTGTATTTTTATTGAATATGCGGTCTTATAGTTGTGATATTCTCGAGTTAACACCGCACGGTCGGCGCGCCGCGCCGCCGTCCCTAGACCGTTGCAGTAATTTTTCAACAACATCCGACATTTGAAAAAGCACCACCAACTCTTTGGTAAGGTTGCCTTTGGATAGTTTTAGAAACTTTTTAAAGAGTTGCGTTTTAAATTTTGTTTGATGTGATTAGGTACCTTGGTGTGCTTGTGACAAAGGATATTTAGATAGGTACTTGTAGTAGTATTAATTAAGAATATGATGGACGATCGTGCAAGATTGAGCTCAATCCTTTTTTATATTTTTTTTAAAGGTGAAACGTTTATTACGTCGCCACATATTTTTTCGTTTTTCTTTCGCATGCCCAGCAGGTTTGATTCCCAGCCGACGAAGGACTTTTTTATATGTGTTTTATTAAACGAGGTGCAATTAATTATCCCACGACCAGCCAGGTCATCAACCATGGGGTGCTACGGCAGAAACCTCCCCGTGTGGCTGGTGCATCTCCTGCCCTGTGTAACCCGCTGTACCTTTCCTCTCATAAATACTTTAAAGGTAGGTGTAAAGACCACCATAATCTATGTATGATTGGACCGCAGACTTTTGTAAAAATGCTCTAGGCGTGTTTAGGGTTCCGTACCTAAAGGGTAAAAAGCGAGACCATATTAGTAAGACTCCACTGTCCGTCTGCTTGTCTTTCACCAGGCTGTATATCATCAACCGTGATTGCTAGACAGTTGAAACATTCACAGATGATATATTTCTATTGCCGCTATAATAACAAATATTAAAAACAGCATATATTATTAATAATATTTAAGGGCGGCTCCCATATAATAGACGTGATTTTTTGGCTTTTTTTTGCTCGATATTATAATGAAGTGTCTAATATTGTAAAGATAATGGCAAGAAACACATAATGCGCAAGTCCGACCCGCACTTGGTCGTTTTTTTTTATAATAAGAAAAAAAACTTCTTCCACAATGTGTTCTCTATTGAACAGTTTCCGAAACTTTACTCATAAATCCTTGTTAACGTTTCACAGAAAAACTGAAGTAAAATCAACAAACAAACGCGTAGAGCCACAAATGCATAGGCTACGCCATTCTGTCTATTGCTCTCTAGTCATACTGAGCCGGATGCGCCGCAGACAGAAATATTGTGTTATTCACCAAAGTGGATTTTAAACACACGCAACTAGGCGCTAACTGCGGTTAATTCAAGTTAATCGTCAGTTTACATTGTAAGTAAAGTAAGTACCGCTCGACAGCAGAAAAAATAGTTTTGAGAAACGACAATTATTGGCTTTCAGGTTTGTAGTATGCAATTATGTTTTTAATATTTCATGGAAGTGTTTTGCCCACCATGAGTTGTAAATTACATAGATATTGAATTAAATGGAGAAATATGCGTGCGTATTTCATTTGTGTTTTTTTTAGATGGTACAGCATAAATATAGATGTACCAACAATTGTTTTATTAATTTTTGAAAATTACTTAACACCATAATATGACATGAGTAATCTTTTTTCATGTAATAATACTGAGAGAACAGCCTCAATTTTTACTCCAAAAATTGCGAGATTTAAATATTTGTGGTAGCTATATCATAACAAGGATATTTTAACGTAACTTTAACGTTTACATAAACTTTCTACGAGTTGTCAGCTAATTTTATCAAAATTCGTAACTATCTTCCTAACTATATTCGTATTTATCAGCAAAAACCGAATGATGGCATGTAGGCCATTGTTTTTTGAAGTTATACTTCTTTAGGCGCGTTATGAAAAAATGATGAGAGTGAAATTTTAAGATGCGCGCGCATCACTGTAACACAAAATTTTAACATAATGAAGCTTTAGCGACCAACTTCATGCGTTACTTCTGTGTTTACCGCACATTAAGAAAATCTACCAACAAAGTAGAAATAGAATCTCTATTTAGTGGGTGCTAACGACTGCATTGTGAAGGCCTATCAAAAGTATTTATTAATCTGGAACAACGGAACCAAAGCGCGATTCAGGAGACTACAGCGCCATCTCTTGACCATTGGTGTAGTAGAACCAAAAACCACATCTTAATTTTTTGTAATAAAGTAACAGTTATAGGTATTCATATTTATAATATTTATCCACATGTTTCTAGTTTGTATATTCGGAATACGTGTTTGAGTTTCATACAAGTGCAAATCACATATGTTCTAATAAATTATATTCAGTAGCGATTTTAATTGAATATTTTGATTATTTATTTATTTTTTCAAATTAAAACTGAACTTTATTGACTTCGTCCTTTTCCAGACTTTTTATTAATTTATTGTAATTAATTATTTGCATGCAATTAAAAACTAATTTTAAACGATGCCAAAGAAGGATAACTTCTCACGCGCCTACATAAGTACACGCACCCATTTTTTTGTTATACTAATCTAATGTTTCATAATGAAAAAAAAAACGTAAGAAACAGCTGAACTCTATCTTCGAAACAAACCAATAACCTTGATCATGACACTGAACACGATTATAAAAAGTGCAAAAGACAAAATACTGCGTTTTTCTGAAAAACACTTAGAGTGAAGAAGTATATAGTGGGCCATCAAAGTTGTTAATGATTGTTTAAACATTAAAAAACCTCATAAGAGCAGAAGATGTTCAATTAAAGTGTCGTTACGACAGTAAACATTCCATATTTTTTAAATCATATAAAATTTAGTCAAATTGCTTTGTTTACTATAAACGTCAGCGATTCAACGCGATTCGTGTTGCCAGGATTTTATATTTGATTTATTTATTTTAATAAGTACGTATAATATGCAGGTATAAGAGTAGTTTTATAATTATAAAACGTATCATGTATTTATGTAGGTTTATAAAAGCTGAGATATGAAAACAAAAGAATTGCTAAAAAGGAGTTAATATTAGGGTGACGTGTTGCAATAAAAAAAAAGAGGTTTCGTATAGTGAAGAATTATGTTATCAGATGTAGTTTGTGACATGAGCGACAAATTTTTTACAAATTGTTTTTTTTAAAAAAATCTAAGTTAAATTGAAGTATTTGCATATTCAATTACACGAATCTCGAAATTTGTAGGTGTTATACTATTTACTGACTATAGCATGCACTGTAAAGCCTCACCACAAAAAGTTTAATAGAGCGTTGAACACAAGTTTAAGAAGAATATGTCATACAAATTTTGCCTAAGTATGGTTTACAACAAAAATTCTTTAACTTTTTTGTGATCTAATTTTCCATTTTTATTGTTTGTTAATATAAAAAACCGCGACTGATTTGCAACTTCCACTATCAGTAAAAATAAAAATCATTAGGCACTTTATTTGTCATATATTTTTTCTTTTGTAGAATTAGATTTTGTATTTTTTAGAGCTAGTGATTTGTAGAATCTGTACCTACGTGTTATTTCGTTTACGGATGATATTATGAGACTATTCCACAAAATACCAAATTTTTTCATGTTAATTTCAATACGTTAGTTGAAGTAATAGATAGATTAACTTCCTACTTAGTTCATTCATGTTATAGAAGAAATATGACATCACTGGCATATATAAATTAATTTACAATATGTATGATAAGATACACTGTTGCAGATTTGTACTTTAATTTATTGTCCAGAAAATATTTACGAAAGTAATTTTGTATCTACACTTTTTGGTAATTACTTTTTAAAATATCTTATGATTAACACGTAAGGTTATAACACTCGTATCGAAAACAAAAATAACGAATTCTTCAAAAACTTTTAGAGCGGCGATATTGGACCAACTACTCTACATTTAAAATTACCTTATCTTTACTGTAACTGTAATATTTTGAATGAAGAAAATGATACAATTTTAATGTTGCTATAATCATATTAAACTATGCATGAGAAGCCTCTCATGCATAGTTTAATATGATAGCCATCATCAATTGACAAAAATTTACAGCAAATTGCATAGGTGTCCACCTAACATCCCTTCGACGACGCTAAAAAGACAGCTTGTCAATTTTCCGCCTCATAAACTTACAAAACAAACGTCTTATTACAAAAACGCGCAGCCAACAAGTGATGTAATAACATGTAGTATAGAAAGACATAAACTCAAAGTTTACTCCGGATAAGAAAAAACTGTGCCTGCAGAATTGGCGGCAAGTTATCTTAGCACTTTGTTTGCCAAGTTTCCCGAGAATGCACCGATTTAAATTTATAAATTCACACTGGTGGCTGCGGACTCTCATTAGCAGTGTAGCAGAATTCGCGTTAAAATACAATTGTCGTATTTTCCCTTTTGTTTTTAATCACTGTAAAATTTCGTATACACTAATACTACTGACTGTGTGCTTAACGTGTTGATAGGTGTGAGGTTTTGTTTTAAGATTGGTTGTGTTGTTTAATGATTGCACTGTCACTGCACTGACCTGCCGCCTGGCGCGCGAGCATCAGTGCTAGGAGTGGCAGCACAGGCAGCGGCATGCTCGCGCTACATGCCGGCGCGGTGGCTGTCGCGGCACTGCGCGAGCGGCCGGCACCCACCCACCCACGCTGGCCGGTGGCAAATGCACCGCCGCCGCACATCCGCCGTGTCGTACTCACAGCTCGCTGTGAGGAGCGGACTGCCGCCAATGGCCGAGAACGACCCACCACCAATGCTAATTACCCCGATTTAGTTTTCTTATATAGGTATCAATCACGCTTCGGTTATGGTTTACCGTATTGTGGGCTCGGCAGTTGGACATTCGATGTAATACACAACTTTGCTGGCTTTAGTCAGTTTGTTATAACGTGACTATACAATAACGAATACTGATCCTCAGAAACAGAGCCTGTCGTTTAATAAAATAAAAATAACAATAATCTAAATGATATACACCTCACAGGATATGAAAGAAATAAGATATTACAGAGAAAACGAACAGGTCGAGTATGTACTATGTAGTTATATTTGCGACGGTGTAAGTTCTTTGGATAAAAAGTTTACGTTTCAAAACTTTGTTTACGAAACATGTTCAAGAGCAACAAGTGGCTTTCTCACACCGCATAATATATGCCGTCTGCCGTCTGAGCCGCTCGAGTATTCAACGTAGACTGCCGCAGAATATGAACGATGGTAGCTTTAAAACACTAACTACATTATGTAGAGTCGTCGAGAAAAGGATTTTAGTTGAATATTGTTTTCAATTAGATCTGGGACCAGTGATGGGATTTATTTTCATTATCGCCTAAACATGAACAACCTAAAACAAAAACAGGTCCTGTTATCTCATTGTTTTTAAGAATTTGAATGACTTTTCAAAACTATGTCCGTTGATTATCGATTGTCGACTTTGACAACATTATTGGGTAGGTGTTATTGATATGGTAACACTGGTTTGCGCGGTCAGACGGGCGGCGTGTCGGGTGCAAGTGCAGCGTGGTGTCGACGACCGCCGCGCCGGCCTTCCGCCTGGCTCGTCTCGCTGCCATGTGCTAAACTGCTAACCTTTGCACTCGAGCCATTGGGCCTAGCACCGACGAGACTTTTATAGCTGAGCATAGCTTTTCCACTTATAGGGTTGTTATTACCATATTAAAACCTTTGTTACCCTAGTATTTTATGATCTTGTTTTCCATGTGCTCTCAATGCAACATTGTTACACCATGTTGTTAGCATGATTATTGGTTATGGTTTTTGGTCATTCACGTTTTTCTTAATAAAATGAAATGACTACGTTCTCCAATAGCCTTGCTCATATATTGACTTTTCTAAGAATTTCTTCGGAATAAGTTTATTTAATTTTGATAATAAATGTACAGTACATTCCAAAAAGACATGAGAGAAAGTAGAAGATATCTTCGATAAATTAAAATGGATGAATAAAAAATATCAATAAAGTCATATAACAAGGTATATGATCCGTTACATTTTATTTATTACCTTTAAAAAACGAATATTCAATATTAGTGAGAAGAATACTATAGTTGACTACAGTAGACAATTTCCGTGTCGGAAAGCAAACGCTGACTGATATCAATATGAACTACTGAAGATTAGTTCCTTTTTTTTAAGCATTTAAGTATAAGTTGTTTAAATCTAAAGGGAATTTTACTAGAAAAAGAAGATTAGCTTAACAATATCCTTTTAAATGTAGATTTTCAAATTTTGTAATTCAATACTCAAATGCAAATATTTTTCGTAACTTGAATTGTAAAATTTAAATACATTCTTACATATATTAATCAAACATTCATATATCAGTTTTAATGTAAAAAAATCTAATATCGAATGAAGTCCAATTTCATTTTGTTTTCGCCTATGCCTGATAGTTATAATAATAATAAAAAAACAAATACTTTCATATTATCCCTGAAATTTAGGTCACAATTTACCAAATATAAATGAAAGAGATAGTAGTCTAGAGATAGTTACATACGGTGTCATCAGTATACTGTGGCATTAAACTTCTCTAGCATAGCAACAATTTTTTCAAATCATCTTTACGCAACGTAGTGTACGGAGATTCTGATTTAAGCCTGGATTCGAACGTACGTTGAACCTCTTTTGGTCAAGCGTTGAAGTCTTTTCAAGGGCGCCAATACGCCCGCTTAGTGAATTATAAAGAGCCTCTTCCTACGAACGGGTATTCGGAAATATTTGGAAATTTCACATTTAAGCATAAACTTAATTATTTACGAATGAGTATAATATCTAAGCTTTTATCCCCTTGTCAGTTTTGTATATCGTATTTAATCCTTTAGGAAATACTGAATGAAAGATAAATACTTAAGTAAGTATTCTTGCTGAAATTTAAAAGTAGGTAAAAGTAATAAAAATACATTTTGTTATTGTGATTCTTTGAGATAACTAGTGCGTGTTTTCTTATTCACTGGTTGTCTATTGTGAGATACAAATGAACAACTGGGCGAGTCTCATTTTCTTCACCTTGCTGATTAAAACATTACAATCAAAATGTTATCTTGTCATAACTGATATAATTTACACTATGTGTATTTATATTGTATGGCACAGCAATCAAAATGCTAGTCAATAATATTAAAGATGAATTAATGTATCTAATTAATTGATTGAGATATAATATTCTGTAAATATTGTTACAATAAATAACGCTGTGGATTTATTTGGCATGTTTTTCTCTAAAGCTGAAAAATATCCATAATAACAGGTGATAAGGAAAACAATTTTTGGATTCAAAGGATTTCTATTTAGCTTCTTAATTGAAAAAGGAAATTTAGACTTTGACTTTACCACGATTCTCATCTTTACATCTACGTTACACAGAAACATCACAGAAAGAAGTTGTGTTACAGTTTTCGATGTGTACGTGTACGGATTTCAATAACTGTGTCTTAACCTTTTGAATTTCCATATAACATATAACAGTAGGTTTCAGATATTTTTTTAAATTATAGCAAGTATTCGCTGTTTTTACTACTTTTCATGGTGTTTTATTAAATACTAGCTTCCTACGAGTAGAGGTAATTTCGTCTAAGTAAACTGCATATCTTACTAAGATTATTATTAGAGATATTATTATTGACGGGTTAAGGTAGAAATATACTGTATCTGTCGTGTTGTGTCGTGACGCGTCAGAGTTTCTTCCATTGAGTACGGTTAGAATTATACTTGTGTTGCGATGTGTCGACAGAGTTATTAAAAGATGCAGGGATCAAATAGCCACAATATTAGCATACTTAATAAATTTTGACGACCTCCGTGGCCGAAAGGTTTGTACGACGGGTTTCATGGTGTCGCCGTCTCGAGAGGTCCCGGGTTCGGATCCCGGTAGGGGCAGATGTTTGTGTGATGAACACGAGCATTTGTACACCAGTCATGGATATTTAATATGTATTTCCATATAAATATCCTTATATATGTACTGTATATGTATTCTATCCGTTACCCTAGCATCCTATAACACAAGCCTTACAGTGCTTACTTTGGGGCTAGGCTATTTGGTGTGAGTGTTGGAAATATTTATTTTATTTAGTATTTATCTTTGGAAACTGGGATTTTCCCAGATAAACTGAAATATTCAATTGTTAAGCCGCTCTTTAAAAAAGATTCTAGGTTAGAGTTAGACAATTATCGACCAATCATACTAATACCAATTCTATCTAAGATATATGAAAAGATAATGCATGATAAACTTAAGTCATTCTTTGTTAAGTACAAAGTGTTGAATGATAATCAATATGGTTTCCTGAAAAATAAATCGACTACACTTGCTGCCTTTGAGTTAGTAGATCATACTCTAAGAAGTATAAATGATAGGAAGGATACTTCAGTCCTCCTATTTGATATGTCAAAAGCCCTAAATATTTTGCCTTTGCCATGCCTCTATATCCTGGAGATATTTAAGTTCGTAAAGTTCAATCAAAATTACTTTAAAACTGCCCGTGAGATATTTCCTACAAATACAAGACATTGTAAAAGGTTAGTCATTGATACAATCCCAAAAAGCACACGTTTTAAAAAGAACTGTATATGTGCATTCAAATTTTTAATAATATTCCACATTCAATAAGAGATTTGCCTTTCAGTAGATTTAAAATAACACTACATAGATGGCTCATTGAACGTAAATTCTACTCGGTCCAGAAATTCTTGAATTATAATATCTAATATATAAATAATATTAATTTTGGTGAATGAGATTTTGAGTGACATATACTGATTTAATTATATTTTTGATTCACATTTTAATATGACCTGATTTTAATCGAATTTTTATATTTTTGAATATTTATTCTGTGGTCTGTAAAGTAATTTTTATTCAATTATGTGACATAGTATTAATTAATTTGATAAAAAACTTATGTAAATTTGCATGCTACGGTCTATAGCTGAATAGGTGAAACCTACAGTATTACAGAACCTAAGTAGAGCGTAATTTTCTTCGTCCCTCTCCCTTGGCATTAAGAAGGTTCTTTGAGCATCTGCCCTAGCAGCTGCGATCAGTAAGATTGCGCTCACTGGGGCATTTTCGTGATGCCTAGATAAATAAGGCTCTCCCATATCAGGGTAGCAGGAGATGCGCTGGTCTACGCCTTCCCCTTCTCCTACTCCCCCTCCTGCGAAGAGAGCCCGCCAGGGCTTGTTCCTTGTGAGCTCTCTCGGCAGTCTCCTTCTGTAAGATAACTTCCGAAGTAAATGGTTTAAATTTCAACTCGATCCTTCCACGCGTTTGCGAGACAAAGAATATTGATAGACGGAGAACAAAGTGATCCTAAAAGCATTCTGTTTTTTACTTTTGTTGTAAGGACCCCTAAAAACAGGGTTGATCAAATAATAATAAATACTTCGGCTTCAGGTTAATCAAATTTAAATTAGGTTTCGTCTGGAAGCACTTTATTACAATCTTTAGAAGGCGAGGACTTGGTGCATCCTAAAATCAGATACCAATGATGTGAATTAAGTGAAATGGTTGCCGAAATGCTGATTGCGTACCATAAAGCAAAATTCACTTGAAAGGGTTTGCATAACTGCAAGCGTTATGGTAGGTGTGGATTAAGAATTGAAAATAAAGTTGTGTATGAATTTCTGATAAAATGTAATGTTTGTGTTTCGTTATTGATATAGACTTTTAGCGCGAGGAATCAATTGGATAAGAACTATTTGCAC